GATGATGACCTCGTCATGGAAGATGCCTGGATTTGTCAAAATGACAAAGTCATCCGCGTGCACCATCGGCCTCGGACTGCAGCTTTTGATCCGAGCACCTGTTCCGACTGCCCTGTGGATCTCTTGTCCATTTGTGGAGAACGCACCACTTCCGGCAACAGCCAAGGAAAGTCCATTTGGACATATCGAGATCAGTGGGGTGCGGATGATCACCAATGGTCGACAGAGCAACCATGGACTGGAGTCACAATTTTTACTGTCATCAAAGAGGAAACTGTGAACCATGCGCTAGAGGAAGACATCATGCATGTCGAAGAAGGTCAAGTTTTTGAATGTGAGATTTTTCTTTCAGAATCGGAATGCCAAAAGATTTGTGAAGATCCACACCAGTTTCCAGTTCTTGCAGCAGCGGCGGCGAAGCGCCAACGAACTGAAGTAAAGCTGAGAGACCTCTCATTATCAGAACAAGCAGACTTTCAAAAGGCAAAAGAAAAGGAAATCAGTCAATGGCTAGACACAGAAACTGTACGGAAAATTTTGAGGTCCAGAATCCCAGACAAGAACATTCTTCGATGCCGGTGGGTACTTACATGGAAGGATTTAGATCCGCAAGAGGCACTTGTAGAAGGCAAGTCACGTAAACCTAAGGCACGTTTGGTGGTGCTTGGATATGAAGATCCTGACCTCACAGAGATTCCGCGGGATTCACCGACCCTTCAAAAAGAATCTCGTTCTTTATTACTCCAACTTTGTGCCTCCAGAAAGTGGCGAGTTAGGAGCTTCGATGTGAAAACTGCGTTTTTACGTGGATCCCATCGAGACAACCGGGTGTTAGGCCTGGATCCTCCTCCGGAACTTCGCACGAAGATGGGTCTGAAAGATACAGAAATTTGTGAGTTACTCAAGTCAGCCTATGGGCTTGTCAATGCACCTTTCCTATGGTATTCAGAGTTGAAGGACTACCTGATTCACCTAGGCTTTGTGCTGAGTCCCTTAGATCCCTGTGTATTCGTGTTAGCTGACCAGCAGGGCAATGTTCACGGAGCCATCGGCACTCATGTTGATGACGGTCTTTGTTTTGGTGACAGTGTTTTTGATGCCGCTTTGACTCAGCTGGAATCTCGCTATCCTTTTGGAGCAAAGAAAGAGTCTGACTTTGTTTTCACTGGAATCCATATCAGTCAGGACGCCCAATATAATATTCATTTGGACCAGACTGACTATGTCCGGAATATTGAACCAATCTCAATCGATCGTTCCAGAAGGAAGCTTGAGCAACTTGAAGTGGCTGACGCTGAACGTCAGGGCCTGAGAGGACTCATAGGGTCCTTACAGTATGCAGCCTCAAATACCCGACCTGACATTTCGGCACGTTTGAGTTTTCTGCAATCCAAGATTAACTGTGCCAAAATTCATGACTTGCTGGAAGCCAACCGTTTACTTGGTGATGCACAGAAACATGCTCACATTGGTGTCACGATTTCCAGTATCCCCGATGATGAAATTCGTATGGTAGCGGATGCTTCATTTGCTACTCGTGAGAAACAGCAATCTCAAAAGGGGGCTTTGTTTCTGGCTGTTCATCAAGATGTTTTTGGACAACAAAAAGCCTTGTCTAGTCCACTCACATGGTACTCCAAGTGGCATCCACCTTGGCTTCAGAAACTTTTGCTCTTTCATCCGCTGTAGATCTCCTCAATTGGCTGCGCCTTGCCTGGTCCTGGTTGAGAAATCCAACTATACCATGGCAAACTCCCGAGAAGGTTTGGCTCAGTGAACCACCCAGCATAGCTGTAGTCGATTGCAAATCCCTTTATGATGTCATCTCTAAGAATACGACTCCACAATGTCAAGAGCATCGTACTTTGATTGAGGCACTGGTGATCAAAGTCATGGATCCATATCAACTCCGAGAGTTCCTCAAACATAAGTACTGTTGCTTGCACGATGTTCAAGAAATCCTCAAGCAGCGAGCCGACAAGAAAATATTCAACAAGGTATCAGACCTCATTCGGTCCATTCAGCAGCACAACTTGCAGACGCCCTAACCAAAGTCAACACGAATGCCAAAATGGCAATTCTCCTCCCTGGCCTGCCTGGGGTTAATCCATCTAAAAGATAAAAACTATAAATAATAAAGAAATTTTGGGAGTGTGATTTATCTATTTCCCAAACCTTGTGCACCAATCCGGGTTGTGTCACTGCCATGTCCGCATGCTTGACCAAAGGGGTTTGCCAACTTCCTCGGCATCCGGCATTTTGCTTGAAGGCCCAAGAGGGGTTGACCTGTGGTGTGCCTTGGAAAAGGGGCACTAGGCGCGTGGTCGTAAGTGAAGCCATAGGGTTGGCCTTTTACATCATTTCCATAGATCGAGGACGATCTTCCTTTGGTTATTGGTTCAGGAGGACCCCATCTCTTATCTTGGTTGGATCAGGGAATCCAAGGTCTATCTTCACCTGGAGGTTCAAGGCCCCTACCTTTGCATCATCCGCAAAATATATGTATTTATATATATATATATATTGGTATGTCCTGGATTGTCCTGGTATGTATATATATCTATATATACATATATATGTACATAGATAGATATAGATTGTAAGGTATCTCAGGAAGAACATCATGCAAAATGTTGATTCGAAACTGGAGTTGGTGCTGATGGAAAAACGTGCTCAGGGCCATGGCATTGCGGATTCATGGATGGTCCACCACAGCATTGGGATAGTCTTGGGTGGGTCACTTTGGGTGGGCCTCTGTAAAACCATAACAGGCACGGGTTGCCCAAAAAATAGTACCGCTGTGTGAAGAAACTTAAATTGCCACAAATTGAGGGGCACCACCCAATCTTTGGACATGCTTGGACACATCCAATGCATTCCAATGCAACATCAGGGGGCAGGGTAAGCCGCCTGCGAAGCCACGGAATTCTCTGTGGCGGTGAAACTCTCCTGAGACTTGTGCATGGTCACTTGGCTGATCCTATCCTGTAAAGGTGGAGATTTACCCGCTAAAAGAAAGGTCCATCTCAGTTTCTCAATCTTCAAGAAACCTGATTTGATCATTGAAAACCAACTACTTCTGGCCAGCATGACATAACCTCTCATGTTCAGCCATGACAAGGGCCATCAACCACTGTTCATTGCGATTTACACAGGTCCCACATTTGAAAGTGCTGAGGCTTTGAATCCAGCTGAAGGCAGTTGGAATGATGGTCATGTGTTGAGCATGTACACCCCCCAACATTGATACAATGGGATTTAAATGATATTCAAGATGGATTTAATGGGGATTTGTATAATCAACATGGGTCCCAAAAACATATATTATCCACTGGGAAAAGGATCGTTCAGAGACATCTTTGGAGTTGGGCGTGTCACTTGTCAATCTTGGCCAGTTCACATGGGTTTGCCTGAAATATGATACCCTGTTCCATCCATTTAGTCATGAAAAATTCTATTGAACAATGGTTGCTTCGGTGTAATACCCTCTGGTAAACAAACATAGCTATGGAAAAGCACCATTTTTAATGGGAAAACTCACTCTAAATGGCCATTTTCAATAGGAAACTGTTAGTTTACCAAAGGGTGTCCCAACCAATTGTGGATTACAAAACCACCAATTTGCTGCAACGAATCCCAAGATGTTGATGCTAAATCTCCAAATATTATCACCATAGATATCTGCCCCATGTTCCAAATAATCCCCACATACACATATGTACATGGAGTTTTCCCCTAAATCATACATTTGAGATTGGGATGTTCCATTGTAAACCAACTATTTTAAGGGGATCCACCATTTTATGGAAACCCCAATATAATTATATGGATAATATTTTTTTGCAAAAGAACTGCAAGCCAAATGACAAACGCCGCCTCTGCAAGTAATACAGGAAATTGGAAATGGACATCTATCTATCCATCTATCTATCCATCCATCCATCCATCTATATAGAGAGAGATAAATATATAAAGCACCTTTTTAATGGGACAACTCACTATTTCAATGGCCATTTTCAATAGGAAACTGTAAACGTTTACCAAAGGGTATTAATACACGCCCAGCGGCCAGGATCTGTCGGGCGATCATCAAGATCCGACCGGCCGTGGGTTTCTTGGGATGCGCCTGGGGTCCACGGGATCCACAGAACATGGCCCAGTCGAAATCGTGGATTTACCCATGGATTTAGCCGTGAAAAATGGAGTTTTTCCATAGTTTACCCATTAAAAATGGTGATTTACCCATGATTTACCCATGACAAATGCCATGAATGGTTGATTTACCCATGAAAAATAGGTGATTTTCCATAGTTCTACCAGTTCTACCCATGATAAATGGAGATGTTCCATAGTTATGTTAGTTTACCGGAGGGTAAATCATAGCTACCTCCATGTGTATACCCTATTTGAGGCCCTATGAAACAGTCAGGTAGATGTGTTAAAAGCATCACCCATCAGGTAGGCTTTCGACCGTCCACGCGCTCTTGAGCATCTGATAGATCACGGGCCTTGGCTGCAAATGGCTGCAGCCATGCGCCACAAAAGAAATGGATGACCAAGTGGCTAAAGCATGCTAAAGCAATAACTATGGTGGTTCATTGTGGTTGGAGTCGGATGACCAATGATGACCATCATAACCATCACAATTGGTCCATTTAAAGGGGATGATTTATCAGTGAGTTTGATTTATCCAGATGATAAGTGATTTATGATGATTAAACACTTATTCATAACCATCAGTTCATTGTGATAAATCAAAGCAATTCAGCCACTTCACACTTGGGCCATTTAAGGGGATGATTCTCCCAATGATAACCCACATTCAGCGCCAAAAAAAACACCACATTTCTATCCCCTTTGCCGTTCAGGCACTGATTCCCTAAAATCAATCATGTTCTTGCTTATCCGTAGCATATGTAGCATATATACCATTATACTCCCATGATATCCCCAATTATATCAATTAAAATAGCCATTAAACCTTATGCTCATCCCAGGCATCAACCCCCTGCGCTGCCAAGCTGCTGTGCCAGGCGCGTCAACAGCTGCTGTTGTGGAAGGCGATCTGAGAGCACCACATGCTGCACCCAACCTGGGCCGACCACTGGCGATTGATGGCGAAACACCAGGACTTCTTGTTGGATGATTCTTTGGGGAATTTAATGGGAGTCTAATCCATTTATTAAACATGTATATAGTATAACCAAGGTAGAACCTATTAATAGTGTACATATATATATATATATACATACATATGTGTGTTTGTGTGAAATTGACATATTCCCAGTTAGATTCATGGATTATAAATCCGTTATAAACCACTGCTACTCTTCAACCAAACATAGCCGGGACATCCCGGAACCAAATACCGAAGTGGTGGCAAGCAGATGACAGCAGATGCAAGCAGCATGGGATTCCATGAACACAAATCATAGAGTACCCTCTGGTAATTTAACATAGCTATTGAAAATGGCCATTTATAGTGAGTTTTCCCATTAAAAATTGTCATTTTCAATAGCTACGTTAGTCATTACCAGAGGGTAACCAGTGACATCCAGTGAGCATGCCTCAAGTTAACAAGACAAATGGGACCCGACTGGACTCAACCCATGCAGCGCCCATGACTAGTCACTAGTCGCACCGACTGGGCATGGTCGGAAACATGGCCGACAAAACGCTGCGATTTGAGGAATACGACGAATAGAACGATGCAGAAACCAACAATAAATTGGGATATTTCATGGAGATATTTCATGGAGATATTTCATGGAATAGCATCCGTCTTTTCCCGGAGGACTTAGTTAGTATCAAATTGGGCAAACAACGAATCAAATATAATAATCATTCAAAGGACTGCTTCAAAGCAGATCTAAAATTCTCGGAAATAGGCCAAAGAAGGCATCAAATGATGACCTATACACAGGGTTTCTAAGACAGAAAGTCGCTCCAGAGCAATGGATTCATCAAATTTGTCCGGCTGATTCTTATAGCCCTACGCGATCGCCTCAATTCTTTGATGTCTGTTTTCTCATGGTCTGTTGGCCAAAATTGCCCACCCAGATGTAACGTATGTAGACTTGGAATGATCTGGATTAATATCTTTCTGATTAAATCCCTGAATCCATTACCCGTAAAATAGATCTGGATTAATCTCTTTCTGATTATAACATCTGAATTCAGGGGGTTTTCTGACGGTGAATTCCTCTGACTTAGAGGTTTTAGTAAAAAATCTCGGAACATCTGTGCTTCCCAAGGCCTAAAAGTTGCTGAGCCTCCAGGCGCAAGCCTGCCGCGCAGCCCAAAGCCGTCTGCTGAAGCTGCGCCTAGGGCCATTGAACTGGAGGAACTGGACATAAATGTGGCATACCCCATTATATGACCAGATTTACAAGGAAATGATGATAAATCTGGGGGTACCGCGGTACCCTATTTTTCGAACAAACACAAGATTGGAAGACATGACCATTCAAAGGGATGGATGGAAAACACACCAAGCTCAAGGTATCCATGTTCAAGCTTAGAAATCGAACATGGAAGCCTATAGGCCCGCCCACCTAATTCATTTCCAACTACAGGATAATGATCCATTATGATCATTTATGATCCAGATGATCATGGCAACATCCATGGAAACCCATGGGATTTTACGAGAACACTCACATCCCTAGGGATTTTCCATTGGTTTCCTTAGTTCCAATGGGGGGTTTTCCATGATGTTCCATGGTACTCTGATCTCAGTCCCCGACAATCTTGGGCATCTTGCGGAACCACGAGAGCAAGGGATCTCGGACGCAGCGGTGAATCTCCTGCTTCCGTGGCCGAGGCTCCCAATGGGCTGGGAAGAGACCGGTTTTTCCCATACCCTATGGATCCAAGTATCTTCTTAGGAAGTGTTTGGGGTATAATTTACTATAATTTGGAGGGTTCAGTACCTTCTCAGACAGTGTTTGGATCCATAGGGATAGGGTTTTTCCATGGGTTTTTCCATGCGAAAGGACGCCAATGAAGTTTTTCCTTGATGGCTTTGTAGGGAAAAAGTCCAGGCCACTCATTGTATCCATGGCTAATTTTCCCATGAAAGGTGTGGTTTGTTCCAAGTCAGTCTTAAGTCAATTCATTACCCAAAGTTGCGAAACTTTTTTTTGTGACAACTTGGTGGATGAGAACCGCTCGGGCCCTCCAAGTAACCACATGGCAATGGCTATATATACGTCTCTTTCTAAAGACCAAGGTTTTCTGTGACCACATTCTTCAAGCGACTTGAAGGATCTGGGTGGTTTCAAGATGGCTATTGCATGCTATTCCTAGATATCCTCCTCTGGTGATGGAATGAAATCAAGAATGAATGAACCAGGAAAACCCTATCTATAATCTGGGTAAAACAATAATAAACCACCCATTTGGATATGGTTTATACCACCTATTTATGGTGATTTGGGGAATTGTTTATTCTTGTTTTACATTGTTTTACCCACATTATTATCTTTTTATTTGCCTAATAGTTAATCACATCCAAGCATCCATAATGTCAAGTCTGGATTAATCATCTGTTTAGTGTCTGTTTAGGGAACTCCCGAGGCTGTGGACAGCGCCACCTCCAACTCCTTGGTACTGGTCAGCACTGCCTCCAGTCTCAAAGGTGGCTGGGAACCCCCCCTATAGCTGGATGTCTTTATAACTTAAATGGAAAAATGATCTAACAAATGAGGAGTTGCCATTGCCATGTGAGATCTTAGTAGGACCATATATCAAATATTATCGGGGAAAAAACAATGGCAACCACACATGATGTGGGATTCGCAATCCCCCAAAACGACTTCCTTATGCCGCTACTTGGAATGATTTACAATAGCCAAATATCATCCAAATATCTTCAAATGGGTGATATCTGGGTGACTATCCTTGTGGACCTCACATATCTCACACGTTCTCGGGGTTCCTACGTGTCATCGCCTTCCGGATCCCCCATAGTTATGGCTAGCCTGAGACACCTGCCAGGAAAATAGCTGGATACTACACACTCTCTCTCTCTCTCTCCATGTAAATATACATAAATATATATATTCCCCCATGTATGACCAAAGCCACCCTTAAAGTCTATAAACCAGCAAAACACAACAAACGAAAAAACAAAAACACACACACACATCATCATCCATCTTGTCGTTGTCGAAGAGATTTGAGCACTTCAACCTAAAGAATGGGGATCAACACCTATTACGCCACGTCAAAGCAAGGGATGAAGCCTTACCATTTTCGGTTCCGCCTTCTGTGCTGTTCGCCAGGACTCACTGTCAGCATCGGCCAAGAGTCCTTAGTGGCGGGAAATCGGCTCCTTGGAGGGTCTGAGTCAAGGGCAATTCTCTCTAAGGTGAGGCCCCCGAAAAACCCATGTAGAAATCCCACGAAGAATCCTTAGTAGATCAGTATTATAACGTATAATGTGGTTGAAACATGTTGAAACAATCATAAACCATCCCAGTCATCCCCATTTTTATAGGTGCTATAAACCATTCCCAAATGGCTGGTTTATGACATTGTTTTAGCCACATTGCTAACATATACTAACCATAGTTGTATCAATGGCCATTTCAGGGACCTAATTAAATTAAAAGTACCTCCATGTACCTACCATCTATAAATTATAAGGCCTTCAGGGCCATGTAAGGGATCATGCTACAGTATCGCTTTTTCGGGTCCTGAAGTTCCCATTGGCATTGGAGGATCATCCCACGAATCGGATGGTCAAGAAGCCGCCAAGGTATATGGTGAATCCCCAGTGGGAGTATCCATAGTCAACCATAGAACCATAGTTGGAAAAGGTTCCATAACTAAGGTTTATATCTGGTTGGTGGTTGAGCCTACCCCTCTGAAAAATGATGGAGTTCGTCAGTTGGGATGATGACATTCCCAACATATGGAAAAATAATATAAAATAATCCAAATGTTCCAAACCACCAACCAGATATTGTAAATCTTGACAGTAAATGGGTGAACTAAGTATGGTTACGCGCACGCATCGTCGTTTGCCCATATAGACAATGTGGATCAATGTGGTGTCTGCGTGCATATCAGCACATTGCTTACGTGCCTTTCAGCAAAATGGTTCAGCTGTCGAGGACACTAAAGGGGATCTGCACAATGGCACCATGACACTTGTTACTTGTGAGGATTATGGACTTCTTACAAACCTTGAAAATCTATATCTCCTTCTCGGGCGTGGCACTATGGCATCTCTATCAAGCCTGTCATGCTTCGCTGCGGATGTGAGTCTTGACCAACAGGAAAATTGTTCCAGGTCCTCAAAGATTACGATGATGGACATCTTGCAACCCTCGAACATTTACTTCTCACCATTTAAGATATTATAAGGTTGCCGGGGGGGTGGGGGGTTCGGGCGGGTAAGATGATGCTGATGATGATGCTGATGATGATGATGATGATGATGATGATACGAAAACCAGCTCGGGACACGGGCAAACGACGGTGTGTGGCCGTATGGTTACTAACCAGTTGGATTTTCTCCCAATTTTTCGATATGGACCCAATTGGATCATCCCACCTTCTTAAACCTGGCCCATCCAAGTAGTGATTTAGGCCCAGACCATCATGGCAGCACAGCGCCATCAATCGGGCCTCAGGGACATGTGCCACGGGACTTGGATGGGATTTGCACGAGATTTTAATGGGATTTGACATGTTATTTAATGGGTTTGTTCGTTCATTGGATATATTGATTTTTCATGGGATTGCATGGGATTTCATGGTGTTGAATGGGTCATATGATGTTCTATGATGGGTACTGTGAGGGGGATGGGATAAGAATCTCAGAAAATGGTGTCGAATAGATCCATCTGTCCTTCCATCTGGCCTTGGAAAAATGATCTGTCTGTGTCTATCCTTGCTCTTCTCTGTACATCGAGATCCTTTGGAACTTTGGGCCGTCATGCTTCGTGAGACGTCTTCAAAAGCTATTGGTTGGTGGTTTCAACCCCTCTGAAAAATATTAGGAAGTTGGGATGATTATTCCCAAAATATGGAAAAATAAAATTCATGTTCCAAACCACCAACCAGGCTATGTTTAAGACGCCAAGGTGCGTAGGAATTGATCTGCGCGGGGGTCATCTTTAAATTCGACGACGGGTCAACCTGAGCAAAGCCGTGTCTTTTCGTGTGAAGTCCGGGTATGATCATCGGACATGTGAAAAGGGAGAGTACCTCAACTCAAACAAAACCACAAGTGGTTTGCAAATAGCTTGCAAAGAGGCTATACCAACCATCTAGCTATGTCCATGGGTGGTTTGAATCACCCATCTAGACCCAAGTATCTATAGACAAACCTAGACAACTGTGATAACATAGCCATCGCTTTGGCAGGTCTTGGCACGCAAAAAACACATAGCGCCATCCTTGGGTGCCGGCGAAACGTGTCAGGAGAGCCTCGAAAAAGACTTTGCCTCAGCGACCACGGTTGATTTTGGTGCATTTGGGTCAAAAAATGCTCAGTTTTGAGGGGGCAAAATGATCAATGCCTTGATTGATGGGAAAATTGAAACCAACAACTGTGTTGTTTGTTAACCATCAAATTGATGGGTTTCCTGCGGATTTTCGCTATTCGTCGGGACGGCTTGAATAAATGATTTGCTGGAACATGTTCAAGCATCATCTATTGACAAAACATTTCAATATGGTTGCTGTAAATGATGAACATGACGGGATATAGAAAATAGGACCAGCAAACTCGTTCCAACATCCAGTGCTCATGGATTTATAAAATGGCAAGGCTTCTCATATCCATGAATTCTCTTACGGTGCACCTGTCTGTCCCTTCAGAAATCAAGTGGTATCCCCGCCCCCTGAAAAACATATATAGTTGCTGGCCCAGACTTACACATAGTTCCATTCCATGGTTACCCTCTGGTAAACTAACATAGCTATGGAAAATCACCATTTTCAATGGGAAAATCCACTATAAATTGTCATTTTCAATAGCTATGTTAGTCATTACCAGAGGGTAGATTTGTTTCACCGTATCCAGTTTTGTTATGCGTGTCCCTGTTGTGAAATCCCCAGTTGGGATGTCGCCAAGCGTAGTTTCTTTGCTCCCCGTACACACTGGCTAGTTAAATCATGTCGCCAAGCAACAAACTGCAGGTCTCGATCATATCCCCCTATGTGTGCACACATATGTATATATATATAATTATATATATATATAATTATACATATATATTATATTATTATATATAATATATACACACACATATATCTTCTAATTGTGAATGGCCCATGGCTCGTTTCCTACCATTTCCCAACATTTCCAGCATCCAAGATGCTTCTCAGCGTCTCCAAAATGCCGCGCAAGCCTGGCCATCTGGCCATCCCGAGTAGCAAAACATAGGAATTGATCGATGGATGGTGAATTGATCGAGGGATCATTCCCTCAATGGAAAATTGATCAATGGATACTGTACTTCAATGGAAAATTGGTACTTTTCCATCCATCAATCATGATGATTGATTTTTTTCCATTGATCATTCATGACAATTCAACGGCATGCGGCATGCTGTACTTCAATGTAGCAAAATATAGCTACAACATGCTACAACATGCTACAACCACAAGAATGGAAACTTGCGATGATGAAATCCCTAAATGGAGGATCATCCCATTTACAACATGCTACAACCACAAGAATGGAAATTGCGATGATGAAATCCCTAAATGGAACATCATCCCATTTAGAAAGTGGTTAGTAACAACCCACTTATAAATGGGATAACCCTAGTTAAAGGCCAAGGTTACTAGTAAGCCACTAGTCGTGGCATGATCCAAATACCGAACAGTTGGTTTCCCCCAGAATTCTGGTTCTATATCCCATAGGATCCATGTATGCTATATATGGTAACATTTACCATCAATATACCCCCAATGTTAGCATATATATACCATACATGGATCCTATGGGTATGGTTTCCAGTTTCGACCATGGTTTTCTGATTTTTTTTGAAACTGGCACCAAGTCACCAAAAGCTATACAGATCTATACAGTAGATACCCTACGGCGATGGCTTCGCCGGAAATTTTCCTGATGGTGCAATCACTCAGCAATCTAAGTAGATTCTGCGGAAGAGGACGCTGGATGTTTGTGGGCTGGCACAATTGTTTTCACGCTCTGGAATAGTGCATCTGCCTTGCGATTCGCAAGAGGCTTTAGATTGATTCCTGAAAATTCACCAAAGCTGGCAAGTCTTCACTAGATCCGCTCACTCCATAAATATCATAAATCCACATTCTCTTGTTTGATACATGGTTCACGCTTCGGAATATCCAAACACAATGCGGAACAAAAACAACGCTCTGTGTCCTTCGGCATCTGCCAGCTTCTAACCCGTTGATCTCCCGCACCCCGGTGACGTTCCCGTTTTAAGCGCCTTTCGTAGGATCAAAGTCATCACCTTGCAGCATTCCACTGGAGGAATGGGCCGCTTGGGGGCGATCTTTTGATGTTTGGAAATCTGCCATACATCGAACATCTGGGAATAGACTAATAGAAGGAAAGGGGCTTCCCAGCAAAAAACTACAAGCATGTATTTCATCATCCAAAAAACATGCGGAAAAACATGGGAAGTACTAGTACAGTAAGGTATAGTATTTATATGTATATGATAAGTGCTAACCTGGAAAAAAAAATGGGCTGATTCCCATGAAGGTCTATTTGATATAGAAAAACTATTAAAAACGGTAGTCCTGGAAAAATGAGAAGCAAGTCCCTGAGGTCAGCCATGGTCCATGCTTATTTTAAGCACAAAAAATCATGATTTCCTGCCAAAAATAAACGCCCAATAGATGTGGAACATGCACCATTTGTAGATAATGTTTTTCTGGGCATTTCCAATGAAATTTCCAGATCTATGGCGGGTCTACCCTGTTATTCTTCATTCATGCTGGGCCCCGCCGTCAATTCCGCCACGAAAAAAAACCGCCCTCTGAACTTCCCCACGGACATCTCTCTCAGAGGCGGCAACGGCCGAGGGGGCCGGCCAGTGCCAAATGCTGTCCGTCCTGAACCATGGCTTACTGATACTTGGATCCATGCAAACGTGGAGGTTTCCTAAAATGGGGTAGCCCCAAATCATCCAAAAATTACACCATTTTAGTGTTGAAAGCCATGGTGACGACGATCCCCCATTTTTTCAGAAACCCGCGTGAAAAGAAAGATAAGAAAGCCCTGTACCATGACATGATTCGACATGACATGGTCATAGCGACTGTCAGTCGCAAACCCAGCCACTCCCGTCCTGTCAGTCTGCTGCTGACTGTTGCTCGCATCACCCTGTGCAGAACCAACGCTGGCACAAGAATGGAAACTTGCTGCCGCGGGCACCCGTATGATGGTTTCACAAATCATCCATTTCAAAATCATTTCAATGGGTTTTCTTCATAAACCATCCAGCTATTGCGGTACCCTCATCTATGGAAACCATATACCCCATGTGCTTTCCAGCCTCGGAGGGGCCCGAAGAATCATCCTGCCGCGATTTGGTCCACAGGATTGAGGGGAAAAATGGATCAGATGATACAACCATCTTTTGAAACAAACAAATGCATTGTCCATACGTTACGTATGGTTACATTGTATTGCTGCATTACATTACGTTCCGCTACGTTTTGTTGCCTTAACATAACATGACATGATAATTGCATTCACATTACATGAATCACATCACACTACATTACATTACAAACCTGCATGTATACCTTCCACATCCTTCCACAATGTATTCTTTTAGCATTTTTGTCTGTGCCTCTCAGGATGTTTTTTGCTTGCAGAAACCACGTGGACGTTCCCCAAAAAACCACTGGCTGCCATGGATTAGTTCTGTTCATGGAAGCTCAATTCAGAGAAGTTTGCTTCTCAGGGTGAAAGGATTACAGTGAACACAAATATACATGTCTTGTTACAGAAGAACAATAAAATACCAAGATTGGATATCAGGTTAAACATGGTTTTCCACCAAAACCACATTATAAAACATACATTTTTCGCATCTCACCCGTTCCAACATGATCCAACCTCCTTCTTCTTCTTGGCAGCTGCCTTGCGGAGCTGGAGCTGCAGCATCCCAAACAAACAAATTTTTGGATCCTCTGGTAAAGTAATACAGCTATGGGAAATTGCCATGCATCAATTATTTACCTATTAAACATGGTGATTTTCCACAGTTATATTACTAAATTATTTACCTAGTTTTCAGTCGCCAACTGATAAGTTTCAACAGCTATGTGAAAAAATACAAGATTGTAAATCATGAGCAGAGTCAGGCTCTATCTTTCCGGGGTGGATGGTCTTTTACTGTAAAGGTATAAGAACATGAAACACTGCAATGATGACATATCACTTATCACTCATTTTTTTAGTTACATTTCACCCATTGAATTGACCACACTGAAGTATCATTAAAGTCTGTACCCCTGGGCCCAGGTATCCATTCGTCAAAACTCAGCAAACTGAAGCTGGATCATGATCATCACCGGGGGTTGTATAGTGCCCATCATGATCTACAGATACCCTCTGGTAAACATACAAACAACTATGGAAAATGTCCAATTTATAGTGAATTGTCCCATGAAAAATGGTGGATCTTTCCATCGTTTTTTGTATGTTTACCAGAGGCTATCTACAGTATCTCCACCAGTTTTTGTTGGAGGTTCCTATTGTTTCTTTGGCGGTTTCCACCCATCTTGGCACATCGTTGGCTGTTAAGCACTTGGGGCCATCCAATGTAGGATGGGACGAATCTAGCATGTATCAAACCGCCAGGCGCTTACATGGTTGGTTTATATACCAAATTTCTATCATGTATCCCCGATAATCGCCATTCGCACATGATATTGAAGCCCATGTCTTATCTTACCTCAATATGTTGATGGGAAAAAACAACTCACAACAATCATCTGGATAAAGTGAAGTAATTGCTATACAACCTGAATCGTTCAGCCATTTTAGGATAGTTGCCCAAATCCAATCATCATTCATCTGACGTCATCCTCATAGCAACCTCATTGATGCAAATTACCAACTATTTAATGTCAGGGTCATTACTGAGTCATTACACTCTGATAATTCAACATTTGGAAAATCACACTTGTTTGATCTTGTCTGTAGAGGCAAATTGTCGAACTAAAAGGGTCATGTCTGATAATAGAAGCTGTTAGTTAGCTTGCCAAAGGGCAACTATTATACGCTATTACAATCTATTACATATATATATACATATCCCATGAAATCCCACGATATACACCCCATGTCACCCCATTAAATTCAACTACGCCCCGTTAAATCCCATTAAATTCATTTAAATCCCATTAAATCCAATTAAATATCATTAAATACCATCGAATCTCATTATATATATATATCTCATTGAATCTCATCGGAATCTCATTAAACATCACGTATCATGCGTTGTTGGCACCTTCGTCGCAGGCGTTTTTGCACCCCAGCTGCAAGCATCGGATGCAACCTGCGCCGGCAAGTTAGGGAAAACATCATGGAACTACTGGGGATTATGTGAATGGTGGACAACATTACTTACCCTCTGGTAAACTAACATAGCTATTGAAAATGGCCATTTATAGTGGATTTTCCCACTAAAAATGGTGATTTTCCATAGCTATGTTAAATTACCAGAGGGTATGTGAATGGTGGACAACATTACTTACTATCCGCAATGGACATGCCCAAAGTGGGTGGTCCCCTATCGCATGGAATGTTTTCGCACAAATTTGAACATCCCATGTCCACTCCCCACTACTTTAGTCTTCGGCTAATTTTGTCGCTTACTCATATGGAAGTTTCCTAAAACGGGGGATCCCCAAGTCACCATAGACTTGGATGATTTAGGGGTGTCCTATTTTAGAAAAGCTACATATGTGATAGGGTCTTTATATGATGAGAAAACAACATTCATTAATACCATGGGGACCATTGATAAGTTTCAACATCCTGGACAAGTTGTTCCGCATCTTTTAGTAGTTATCAAAAATTATATCCCAATCCCAAAAGGATGTGTGAACAAAAAAAGATAGGGGCAACATCCAAGGAGAAGACAGAAACAAGATTTCAAACATATTCACCGTTGTTGATCTACTTAAAACCATTAAAAAAAGGGGGTTCCATAAGTGGGGGTACTCCAAAATGGATGGTTTATAATGGAAATTCCCCATCTCAAATGGATGATGACTGGGGGTACCCCAATGACTTGTTGGAAACGTCCATGAAAAACACCGAGGAGATCTTCCCACGGTGACCTGCAAAATGCCCTTCGAAGACTTGCACACATCTGTCCAAGCATCTATGTATCTAAAGAATCGAAATCCAAACCTAAATATCTATTTATATCTATTTATATCTATTTATTTAGATCTCTCTCTATTTATTATTTAGATAAATAGATCCAAACCTAAATCTCTCTCTCTATTTATATCTTTCCCCACGTTTATCCATACATGTGACCCCTTCCCATATCTGGGCCCATGTTCATTCCCCAAAAGCTAGGATTTTACATAATACATACACGTTCACTAAATTGTTCACTTATACTTTCTCTTCATCTGTCATTTTTCCATATTCTGTCCATCAAAAAATAGCGATTTCGGATGTGTTTCCATCGGATCAGGGTATCTCCGCCTCTGTCTTGGCATCGCTATCTGAGTCCTGGGCCACATGGGATCCATCGGTGTGGGCCACTCGTGTTTTAAGTGGTGAATGGTTGGTTTCTCATCAAAATGGTCACTAGAAACTAGAAACTACCCTCTGGCAATGACTAACATAAGGATTGAAAATGACTTATTTATAGCGGAATTGCCCATAAAAAAATGGTGATTTTCCATTATGTTAGTTTACCAGAAGGTACTAGAAACGACTGAAAATCACCACCGAAAAATGATGAACATGTCACTAGAGAAATTCTAGTGACATGGCAATTATGATGTAGTAAAGTCTATCACTTCTAATGAGGGTTGCTCCCAACACACAAGATACAAGGGGGGGTATACAAAGAAACAGTACCACGGTTCGTCCTTGTGGCTATCATTTACCATGGGTTATTTCGTCATTGTACATCCCATTCTTTCCGGCTCATTAGCCATTACATAGCCAGGATCACTGACTATGTTGACGGTTAAGAAAGTACATCATCCAAGATATCCCCGTATCATAGAATTGGATGATGGGAAAATTTACAGGAAAGCATAGGAAAGCCCTATATTTGATGGTAAAAACCATGGTTTCCTGTAGATTTTCCCTTAAACCAATCCAATGACCGTAGTGTTTTCCAGAGCCATGTCTGAAATTTTGTGGCCATTGCCTCGGCCTTCTTCTTCTTGGAAGGACTGAACTCCTGTCGAAAATGGAGAGTTCACCATGGACGAATATCTCCCGGAAAGGGGCCACTATGGATCGCCATCTTGGTCAAAATGTCGTGTTGCCCGCTGAATGGTTGGTTTATAAAAGTGGCGACTCACTAGAAACATGATCATCCTTCGAAAAAAGGACATATCACTCATGAAATCGATGAAAATGGCACTTTAAGAAAGTCTATCACTAAGAGGGTTGTTGCTCCCAACACCCAAGATATAAGGGGGTGAACTTGGTAGATAAAGAAAATATAAAGAAACAATGTCCAATCTTCCTCCTTGTGGCTACAATAGATAGCGCTTGGATCAACCCTGTAGGTCGTTGGTTTGTTTTCCCTACGGCCCTGAGATAGCCAGTGTAGCCATGATCGCTGACTCGATTTGCATTTTTGTTTTTATTGAAGATGTTGATGTAACTATAAGTGAATTCTCCATGATATTCCCCATATTTAAGTGAATTCCCCATGCAATTATTTGAAGATCTTTGACGATCCAAGAATAAGTGAATTCCCCATGACATTCCCCATATCCCATGTTTGAAAATTCCTGGCCGTTATCACCCCTGCCACGTGCAGAAAAAAGCAGGCGCCAGTTCAGTATCGCCTTTTGCCCACCATGCCGACCCAACCATCAAGACTTTTTGCAAACATCGATTATGCCATCCGCATTTCCAAACGGGTTGGATTCTGTGTTTAAGTCACTCAACACTTGCACGCAGCTATGCACAGCCTAGTGAAGTGCATGGATGAGACCCTCCCACAGCAGCCTATCGAGAGAGTCCCTAAACGCAGAAGGGCCGTGTACCCTCTCGCAATGCCTTCAAACCATGAAAGGAAAGGGGTCTGCCATGCAACTTGCCAGAAGAAAACATCCAGAGCAGGACCTTCAAAGGGCCGCGAAGGCATGGCAATGACCTGGGCGCAGCGCCAAACAGCAGCACTTCAGAAGAAAAGCCTGCTTGCCTCCCTCCGTCAGGACCAGACTGGCATCCTCAGCTGCGAAAAAAGATCTCGATGTCCTACTTCGACACAAAAATGGTGCCGGAGGTCGCCGGCAATTATCGACGACTTGGCCCTGACTTGGCCATGGCATCTCGGAGAATAGTTGGCATCTCCAGCCAGCCATGGCCGGAAGTTGATAACCCATCAATGGGTAAGTTTCATCCTCAGGGAAAGGACGGAGATTTTTCTGCGGAAACGAAACACACAGCTAGGACGTTTAGGGACACATCTGAACAGCTGCAGAATGGCAAATTGATGGTGTATGATTCTGTATGATGGTGTTAATTTGGGGCAGTATATGCAGAAACCTCCAAGGAGATAGAAAAGCACTTCCAAGATGTTAGTTTGATGATGTTTCCTCCATGATTTCCAGGTGTCCGCAACTTCTCGACATCTATGTCAGGGGTTGCTCTACATGAAACCCATGGAAGCCTTTCAAGCAACAAAAATCAGGAAAAACTTGTTCGACTTGATCTTAAATTGTTCATAGCCATAGCTATAAATTAAATTACCGGAGGGTACATGGACATGATTGTTTTTTAAATTTTCACTTGCAGATTAGAATATCTTGAGCTATCGCTAACCTACAACTGTTCACCAGCGAACTGCCTAGCCCAGACGCCCCCGGGGCCAACCTCCTCCGCCTTCTTCCTCTTGCTGTTCTTGCCCTGCCCATTGCAGCCAAGAGAAGGGTGATACTAACCATGCTAGACCCAGTGCCATAGCCATAGACCTCCAATCATCAATTTTCTGCAAAAAATGGGGGGTGGTTTCATTATGTTTTACTATATATTTATATATCAGATTGCTGCATGCAAGCCACAAAGTGGAAGGAAGCACGTCCAAACTCTATTCAATGGTAGCTCATCAGCCACTCATAGTGGCGATCAGCGATCAGAAAATGACCTGGAAAGCCAAGAATGATCTAGCCATGCCGTGCGATTTTTCCAGGTTTCACTACTTCAGAAAAATGGTGCCTGCGGCTTGCCACCTGAAAAATGACCCTGGCATTGGAAGTGGCCAAGTAAGGTCAAGTCGAACATGTTTTGTCTGATTGGCTTCCATGGGTTTCTTGTATAGCAACCCCTGACATAGATAGAGCAGTTGGAAACCTGGAAATGACGGAGAAATTATCATCAAACATCCCCATCCAACAAAAACGGAAACCTGGGAAATGATGGAGGAAAAATATGAAACAAACATCCTGGAAACACTTTGCTCTCCCGCCTGTCCGCTGGGACGACCCCTTTTTGGGCGTTCAGGCACCTGTCATGGGATTTAATGGGAGAGATGGTGACTTTCCATGGTAATCTAAGAGTTTTCATGGAACATGGCGTCTTTTTGAGATGGTGATTTTCCATTGCAAAGCTTACCAAATGGTAAGAACCCTCAAAATGTGAGTGTTTAGCTCGGGTACAGTTGACACAGGAAAAGAGTCAACGGATAGTTGGCATCAAGAAAATCACAATTGGAGAAGCACGATTTACAACTGCACGGAGGTAAGTGGACCCCATCACTATACACCTCTCTGCTCCTGCTTTGTTGCCATTTTCCAACTTGTTCTTTGCATGAATTGTGTGGCCCAACGGTCAGCACAGGACGGACCTCCTGTGCCTTCCTCTTGGTACCCTGAGAAGCCAGGCTGGCGCTGAAGGGGAAACCAACAGCTGTTACCCATCTTTTGGCACCAACGGAAAACTAAATATCTGCATCAATGATAGCTGAATATCTTTCTATATAAAAAAGATATCTATATTTTTCTTGATGGCTGCAGATACATATCTTCATAAGTCTTTAAATCTGTATGGCTAAATATCCTGCAAAGGCGGCTATATACCAATCCCTACCATATCCTCTCAACGAATCATATTGATGCAAAGATTGTGGCCCGCGTTTGTGGAAAGGATTTCGTCAGGAAACCAAATTCTTCCTGGATGTGAACAAATATTGGAGTATCAGTGTGCAAAAAGCGCGCCAATGATATCAAGCTCAACAACTGGGGGATACGCAACGAATATGGGATCTAGATATATCTAGATCACTTTCCATTTAAAGCCAACCCCGGATAAAATAAGCCTATAAGCCCTGGTTGATTAATTAGGGGTACCCCCTAAAATAGTATCCAAAAGTGACAATCTGCTGCTAAAACTCTTCAGTCGACAAATACCGTTTGGATCAGAACAAATCCACGTCTTTTCACAAGGTGTTCTTAGTGCCTGTTTCGCACATACTGGCACAATCCAACTGAAGTTAGGATTGATGGTTAGTGGCTGGAGTGTATCCCTTGATAAAACTCCGCCACTTTTTACAGGATCAATTAATTGCACCGTTGGACTCTGCATCAATTTCACACAAGACCACCTGCTCTGTCAGGCCTGCGGGCGGGTCTCGGATTTTTCCATGGCAGAAGGCCCCTTTTGGGAAAGCAAGCCTTCTACCTGCTTGCACAACGTTTCCACCTGAACCAGGATGAGTGGAAACGGTGGCAAGCTGTCGCTCAAGAGTGGCAGTCAACCATATTGCAAAGTTGTGTAATTAATCAACTTAATCATCATATGTAATATATATATAATAATGATGATGATAATAATAATAGAATAAAAATAATATAATATAACAATAACAATAATAATAATCAACAGATATAACATATACCAAACATAATGCACACCAATAAAAATCCATTCAGAGTCTGAAGCAAAACACCATCTGCAGTTCATGGCAAGTCCCAACTCCTGCGCCCTGGGCCATCCAACATCTTTGGCATCGAAGTGCGGGGTGCCACCGAAACGACACCTGGGCGCTGAGTATGATCCGAAAGCATCGGAGGTCAACGGCTAGGCCCATCCGGGTGTTCCAAGGGTTTTCGGCGTCCCGGCATGGAGTGAAGCAACTGAGACAGTTCCGGATATTGCCCAACCTGGCTGAACAAAGGACGACAAAGGACGACAGTTATAGGAGGCTTAAAAGTCGCCTTCAGTTACCCTTGGCCATTTTCCAAGAACAGTATGATCATGATTTTCTTGGTTCTTCAATGTTCTTCATGAGATTATACCTATGATTTTTTCTTATGGTCATGTGTATTTTTGATCATATTTCCTCGGTTAAAGCCTGAAAATGTACCCAGCATCTACCAATCATGGCGGCTGACTGGGCTCAAACGCAAATCCACACGCAAAACCTCCGAGGTGAGCTGCCAGGTGCCCAAAAGGAGGACGTGGTTTCCACAACATGACATGAGTGTAGCGAAACCGAGTGTTGAGTGGTTGGTGGTTTCAACCTACCCCTCTGAAAAATATGAGTTCGTCAGTTGGGATCATGACATTCCCAATATATGGAAAATAAGATTCATGTTCCAAACCACCAACCAGTGATTATTAACCATGATTAACCATCATTACCCCATACTAAACCAATGTTCCAGTCACCACCAAGCAGTGAATCAAATGATCTGCAAAACCCAACATGCAAAGCCGTTGAAGGATCATGCAGGATCATGCAGGTCCTATAAAAATCGAGTAGCCATGAGTAGCCGATACCCTATCAATGACAAGGTCCAAACAAATCTTGTTACAGAAAAAGAATGCTAACCGGCCAAACTTGGATACTCACGCAGTGTTTCATGTTCTCAATTCCATGTTCCTCATGTTCCTCATCTTTCCTCCATCAAAATGACCATCCCAACTCTAAGAAAACACGGAAACACAACATGCTTAAGAAGTTAGAGACCTAGTCAGATATCATTTAATATCATTTAGGTGCGAAACAACAATAATACCCTCTGGTAATTTAACATAGCTATTGAAAATGGTGATTTAGTTCGTGAGTTTTCCCATTAATAGCATGGTGATTTTCCATAGTTTTTTGTATGTTTACCAGATGGTAAACCAGCCATGGCTGGGAATGGTAAACATATACCACCTCTATATAAAAATGGTGATTTATACCTCCGAGCTGCTGCATGGTTGCTCTTGTGATAGTCCGTCAGCACCTGGCAAAAAACATCATTGACGTACGATGAAAAGCCACAACAAAAAAAGGGTGGTTTTTAATGATCAAAACTACGGCATACTAAACTAGTTGAACTATAGTTCTACATAGTTCAACATATATACTTTAACATACAGTTTAGTTTGACATACTGTGGATATCTGTGGATGGTTGCGAAATCCTGCATCACCAAAAGGATGGTTGAAACCCTATAATGGGATGTTTACCACCGTTTTCCATCCACCGGCCTCACTGAGGCATTGCAGCGGTTGTCGCTGCAAGGGGCACATGCCTCGATCTCAAGGGGATGACATCAATGGATATCAAGGGATCATCTATGGGATAATCCATGGAGTATATATGGATGATATATGTATAAATATATATAATTATGTGTATATATATATGGAGATATATGGGGATATATGGAGATATAATGATATGTAATTATATAACTATATCATATATATATATATAAGTATAACCAGCAAGAATGAGGAAATAGTGGGATATACATATATATATAATATTTTTATAACTGATATAACTACCAATAATAATCAACAACAATAATGTGGGAACCCTGGCTGCCATAAACAACTATCATTTGGGGATTGTAAAAAAAAAAAAACATACCAGTGGAGATGACTTGGGGATGGTTCCTGATGGTATCTCCCCATGTTTACGGTGAAATTGAATAAATTGAATTGATGCTCAATGATTGAATCCCGCTGAAATCACCGTTTTTGATGGTTATAGTAGTTACCATCTGGTTATTTAACATAGCCATGGAAAATCACAATTTTTAATAGGTAAACCATCTATAAATGGGCCATTTTCCATGGCTCTGTTAAATAACCAGAGGGTAAATAAAAATGATTCAAACATTAAGCCTGAGAATTGATGTTCAAGGTCAATTTGCCGATGAATCCGTGCCTGTTCCAAAAAACTTCCTGAAGAGGTACGAATCATACCCCCAAATCATACCCCAGTCGTACTCCCTCAGAGGCTACTGGGATCGATAACTGGTATTAACTGGTGATATGTTGTACCCTCTGGTAATTTAACATAGCTATTGAAAATGGCCCAGTCAAAATAGTTGATTTAACCCAATTTTACATGGTGGGCCATTTATAGTTGATTTATCCATTAAACATTGTGATTTTCCATAGCAATGTAAACGTTTACCAGAGTGCAATCCATGTTGCCAACCAGCTAGCTAACCAGTCAACTACCCATGTACTTACTCAGGTCGTCCGTGAAATATGTTCCATAAATGTGCCATGATTTGCGCCCAACATATCCAAGAGTATAGTAACATATAGTAACAACATATACATTAATGTGGGTAAAACAAAATAATCCATCCCCAAAATCATCATAAATAGGTGGTATAAACCATTCCATTGTTTTACCCACATTACGTGGATGGCTAACGGTTAGGATCTACCATGATCCATAGATCTTTCCTCCGCTAAAAATGGCCGTTTGGGGGAGATAACTTCTCCATGTCAAGACGCACCCAAATCATCTTAGGTTGACAGTTGACAGCGTATCATATGATTATCATATATATATATACACATATAATTATATATAATTATATATATATATGTATATGTATCCCATTGCTTCCCCATCAAATCCCATTAAATCATTTGTTTTTCATGGTGTTTTCCCCTATTTTGTAGGGCTTTCAGCTTCAAGTCCGGCGGCTCCGGCCAATTTCCGTGGCAAGTCGCTGATCAATCCACGCAGAATGCCCTGTGAGTATCTGACGCGGAGGGGACGTCTGCAGTCTCCGATTCCGTGGAAAAATGACGTGGGGATGTGGGGATGGGTCAAAACCAATAGTACCCCTGTAGTTCACATCAAAATAGCTGGGATTTATGGATGTGAATAACCCACTAAAAATGGGGTATTAATAGGTATTGACCCATACCCATGTGGTGTTTTGCGAGGAAGACATGGAGAAAAACACATCTGCAGCATTCTGCTGCATTCTGCACCAATAAACTGGTCAAGATCATTCAGAGTCTTCAATATCTGGCTAAGAACCACCATCTTGGGGAGGGTTGGGCCCACCTTAGAGCAATGATCTGGTTCCCAATGTAAGTGGCACCGCCCGAAGAATATCCCGGACTCCCGCAAAATGTGGAGGCTCCCAACCACAAAAATAATGCGGCAGAAACCGGTGGAAATGGTTTTGGGGACATGAATCATATATATATATTATATTATTATATATACATTCCAATAATTAATCAATACAGGCATCTCAAAATTGAAAATGTTCAGCTCAGACAAGTTTGGGTGAAATCCATCCAGCCAGTGCTTGGTTGTGGGGTCCCTGACCCCAAATCAGATGCGGGTGCCCCAAACATTCCAACGGTCAATCATCAAGTTGCCCATCGCCAAAAAAAAAGGGGCATCTCCGACAAATCGACTGAGAAATCCGAAAAACATCGGAGCATCAACATTGCCCAAGAATCCCAAATGATTTGATTCTGACATCCACATGTCGCCACAGTTTTCCCAAATTCAAATAACTAAAACTGTGTAAAATCAACGCTTTTGCCATCTGGCTATTCAACAGCTCGCTATGGTGTTGCCACCATTTACTTCGACTTGATAACTTAATGCGATGATTTACCTTGAACAAAATGGTGATTGTCCAGGTCTTTCAAAGGCTTTATTTATGGCCTTTTTTTTTGCATGGGTTATCTTCAGAAAAGTTCCACGAAAATCCCAACGATGCCATCATCGTAGCGCGACGCGCACATGTAGGTGTACTGCTTGTGCGTCGCCGCGTCGCAAAAGGCATCCAGGTCATCCCTGAGGACTTTGGCAAAGCAAACCCTGCATGATGTGAAGCCGATTTTCTAAGCTTCAGAAATTGATGTGTATATGTAATAATATATATATAAATGGTAACCAGAACAGCAATCATGTCATAACAATAGATAATAGTAATTAATAATTTTAGAGAATTACATGGATGGATGGATGGATGGCTGGATGGATGGATGGATGGATGGATGAATGGATGGATGGATTGGACATTGACCAACAAACATGCGAGTTCCATACAGAACACATGGGATGCAAGGTGGGCAACATGGAAAGGGTATGAAAGGGTTGCCTTAAAATAATTCGAACATGGGGCGAATTTACCTCGAATATATCACTATGAAACAATGAGGAACATTTTTTTTTGGGTTAAACTATTGGATTTCAAACATGGGACACTCCATGTGAAAATCTTTCAACAAATAATATGCTGCCAGCGAATATATTTGCAACGACCATACTTATGCAAATGACCATACATATACCCTTTGGCGATGTAACTTTTGTCGTGGGAAAATCATCTATAAATGGTGGATGCCCAGTTCGCCATGTTCAACCACCAGCGGGTAACCAATCCATGAAAATCCCATGAATCCCATAGAACCCCATTAAAATATACTAAATTCACCACTACAATCATTATATACACCATGGGAATCTCATAGCGTTTCTTGCTGTCTTTGTGCCACTGTCCCCATTCGGTGCCGCGCTTGATGAGGGTCTCATCAACGTTGGTCACCGTCAAAACGCGCAGGATCAGCTCACGCATCTTGCGGATGAACCTCAAGCAGTGGGTAGTCCATAGTGCCATAGGGGTGGCCAAGTTAGTGGTAATCTTCACCATGAAAATACCATTGATACCATTCCCATAGGATCCATGCATGGTATATATATAATCCCTTCCTCCTAATACTAAACGTCCCCCTAATACTAAAAACAGGCATCCATCTCCAATTTCCGAAAATTTCAGTTTGGCCAATTTGACTTTTAATTGATCCCCTTTAAAAAACAATTTAAAAATCAACCTACCATTTGTGGGTTCTCCCCCCTAATACTAAAAACTAGTTCACCCCGGGGTGTTTAGTATTAGGGGGGCCTAGTCCCAATCCCTCACTCCAAGCTGCCTGGCTACTCTAGCAATTAGGGGTAAGCTTCGAACTGCCATTTTTGGCAATATTTTAATTGCGTTATATAAGGAAATTTAATTGATTTTGAGATCGGAAAAAATAGTTTTTAGTATTAAGGGTTTTAATTTAGTATTAGGGGTAAGCTTCGAACTGCCATTTTTGGCAATATTTTAATTGCGTTATATAAGGAAATTTAATTGATTTTGAGATCGGAAAAAATAGTTTTTAGTATTAAGGGTTTTAATTTAGTATTAGGGGTAAGCTTCGAACTGCCATTTTTGGCAATATTTTAATTGCGTTATATAAGGAAATTTAATTGATTTTGAGATCGGAAAAAATAGTTTTTAGTATTAAGGGTTTTAATTTAGTATTAGGGGTAAGCTTCGAACTGCCATTTTTGGCAATATTTTAATTGCGTTATATAAGGAAATTTAATTAATTAATTAACATGACTTCGATTTGGTTCCCTAATAATAAATACCCCCCTAATACTAAAAACTACCTGCCGTGTTTTGTATTAGGGGGGGGGTTTAGTATTAGGAGGAAGGGATTATATATATACATATACTAACATTGGGGGTATATTGATGGTAAATGTTACCATATATAGCAGGAAGCAACAAATCGGATTTCGCTGGGTATGACGGTATGACATAATATTCCTCTGTCTAACTAATGTTTGGGAAATCATGGGAAATCCATCCGTTCAAAATACATTGGGGGAATCATAAACTCGAGGTGATCCGTGGATAATCTATGGGGGATCCATTCAAAATAATCTATCGGTGTACAATGATATCGCCAGTCAACATTGGGAAATGTTCATCAAGATTTGATGTTCATAGTCTTGTTGATACTCACCATCAGCACCAAGGTATCTGTTGGGGCCAGAGTTCGGAAGCTGGTGAAGCTCTGACCCCATGGAATTGATGGATCACCAGGCCCTGGAGCACTGGTTCCGTTCCTGATGGTTCCCTGAGGCTGTGGCAACTGGAAACTTTCAGAGGTGGAGTTCAGCTTCATGACTTCATCGAAATTCTTGTCCGCCTGGAGGCCGGGCAAATATCTCCAGGGGCCATGGAATTCATGGAGTGCCCCAAGAAAGCAAAGATACTAACAGAAACTGACAGAAACAGCGAAACTTCAATGAAATGACACTTAATAGTGACGCACCTCAGAATCTCCTCACCGTAAGGGACTCAAAAGAATGATTTGACGTAGTCCGGCCGTTGGACAACTACGGCAACGACATTTCTGATGGATTCCAGTGAAAGAACTGGGGATCAAACCCGCAACAGACAAGTCTTGCAGAATTTGTTCACCGCAATCCTCATGTCGAGTGGATTTTTTTTGACATGTGTTTTTTGTCAGTTGAATGCCCCAATTTTTAACCATACAAAAAACAAATCCATTGTCACCCCATGAGTTGGGGCTAAAGACACGGAACCGAACCCCATGGCTTGCTGGAAAAATCCCCCATAGACACTTCCATGGTGTTCCAGTGAAAAAATCTCCATGGCTTGTTAGGGGGATTTACCGGCCATGTTTAAGCAGATTTTTCAGATGATGGCTATGTCCATGTGATCCCAAAAAAATCACCATAAAACCCTATATGTTTCCCCATGAATCAGGTTTTAGCGTCCCGAAGGCCTCAGCAATCTGGACCAAAAGGCCAGACACGAAACGGCTGGAGCGTCCTGGGAAAGTGGAGCTTGCCCCAAAATCCATGGCGAAAGCTGTTTGGGAATGATCTACATGGTGGATGTTCATGAAGTTTCCATATCTGCTCTCTCTCTCTCTAGATTTTCCATATCGAATCTAGTCTGTCTAATTATATCTGTGTCATATAGATATTTTTTGTAATAGATTTGAATGTTAACATATACAGTACCATCACTATACCATCACTACACGGGCTGCAGGGAACTCAGAGTTGACTCAGAGTCGAAAGGTTCTTAGCACAACAAATGACTCGATGTCTGCAGCCATGGCCATGGCCATGGCATGGCCCCTCGCCCCCTGGGCCCCGTCCTCGACTTTCGTTGGCCAATTCATAGATGGCCGTTCTCCATTCCTGCACCACCAGGCGAAATCTCAGCAGTCCAGTCAACCAATAAATTGGACCCCAGCCTGTTTGTCCCTTCATCACTTTCATTTGGACCATTTGGTTCATTGAATCCATGAATTCTATTATATATACGAGTATATATACGTGTATATATAGTATATATATATACAGCACATATATATATATATACAGCACATATATATATACCTGGACCTTCAAAAGTGCCAAAAAAACTGTCCTGTTGGAACTTTGAACGCAAATCTGCACAAACTGTGCGCAAATCTTGTAAACATGCCAGATTGGCACATTTGGATCAAACGTTCAGAAATCAAGTGGCGCAAGAACTTTTGGTTGTCATTTAGACACGAGTAATCAAGATTGCCTGTGGAACTACGTTGAGTGTCAGGTCAATAAATTCTGTTCCATGAATTAGAGACACCAACATGTTTTGCATTTTTTTTGCAACACAGAATATATTGTTCCTGCTCATCCGCCCCACTATTCAGGCATGGTCCCACCGACCTGCCCCTAATGACAAAAATACATGCAACTTTTTCCGTCGTATTGTAAACATTGCAGTGTGTTGATCTCCACATGCTCCAAACCACAAACAAAACGTACGCAAAAAAAACGCAAAAGTACGCAAATAATCCGCAAAAATACGCAAAAACCCACAAAAGTAAGCAATTTGCAATTTCTGCACTTTTTGTTTTGAACAATGGACCTAATTCCACACAATTTCTGTTTTGGTGGGCTTATCAACCAAAGCTTTCAATGCACAATACGCGCAATACAGGGAGCAAAGCCTCATATTATAATCTCGACTTGGTGATAAAAGTATGATCAGATTGGGACTCGAATTTGCATGCATGTCACAATGCATCAATCATTGCTACCTGTGTGACGCTATGATATGACATGATATGTCATTTTTAGCCCAAGTTCAGTGGTATAATGACATGGTGTGGAAAAGCCTGTTCAATTTTGTTTTGGAACGTTCAGTTTTGGCGGGGAACGGTCAAAACGGCCCAAAGGTGCAATAGTCCAAACGTACAAATATTATGGAACTTTTGAAGGTGCAGGTGTATGTGTGTGAGTGTGTGTCAACACGGTTAATCCATATGAATCCCCCATCTACCTCTTGGATCAAAGAAGAAACGCATCCCAAAAGGTTGAGCTCCCCAGGTGCCATCACCAGACCTGTTGAGGTCAGGGTCCTGTACCTTGATGAAGCCGTCCAACCACGGCACACTGGGATTCGGCTGGCTGCGGTTGGTCAACTTATCCGCGCGCTCTTGGTCAAAGTGACTCACCATGCGCCGTGCAATGCACTTGCGAAGCCTTAGGGTCTTGGAGGTGGGACAACTTCATCTGGAAGAAAGTGTGGAGATAAGATATAACATGATCGAACATGGTATTACTCTATAAATATGGCTATTTATATGTTTATATGTATATATATATATGTAATATAGGACATATGGAGCTTTGGAATATATTGCCGCACTTTCTGGAAGGAAGAGTGAGACTGGCTCTAGAATACCCATGTGGTCGTCATGTTATCCATTCCACCATGGCGCCGTGGCGCCTTGCGTGTCAAACAATGGGGTATACCACTTACATGACCATTTGCCATCCATTTCCCTCATAAACACCTCATAAATTGGCCCTAAATGGTCCCAAATAGGGGATGAAAAATCCCCGACTAAACCATGGTTTCGTTTAAGGATGTTTAATATGGAACGGATGAGATCCTCGTTGGTCCCAGCCACGTGCCACAGGCTGTTGCATCTTCATCGTTGTCCTGAAACGTTGGGGAATCCATCAGCTAAGATGGGGATGGGGGTAGTTACGATGGGGATGTCCAACCCAACATAGTCTGTCCCTTCATGCAATTTCTATCCTAGTGACTTAGTGTCAACAAAAAACGAAAGGCTCAGTGCGTTTGGGACAAGCTGAAATTATTTCGGATGAATGCTTTCCACGAGCCATTGGGCACGTGGCATCCGCAGGCCGTGCGTGCTTTGACAGGCTCTTTCTGCCATGTTCATCTGGATCATCCCTTCGGAAATGATATGGCAAAACCTGCAATGCCTTCTGTTTCAAGATTCAAGAGGCAAATACCCCAGCTTGTTTAACAAAAAAAAACAACCATTCACTTGGCTTTGAACATGGGCTATAGCACCAAGAAAAATCACATTTTCTCCATATTTTCACAGGAAAAGTGATGTGAAGTCCACCCTTCCAGTTGCACCGGCCCCCGGCAGGGCTGTGCCTTATTTTTCAGCTGCGCGATCCAGCCAGCCGCCAAGTTGCAGATCCTCATAGGACCATCAAACATGGCACAAAACCAGGTCCACTATGGCTGGTTTAAGCTGACTTTCCCAGTATTTCGCCCCATCTATAGTCACTGGTTGACCTACCCCCATCTATCAATGGATGATGACTGGATGGTTTATAGTGGAAAATTCCATGATAATATGGATGATGACTGGGAAATACTGGTTGGTGGTTTCAACCTACCCCTCTGAAAAATGATGGAGTTCGTCAGTTGGGATGATTGTTCCCAGCATATGGAAAAATCAAAAACTGTTCCAAACCCCCAACCAGCATATAATCACTTTTAGAGGAGAGCATAACATAGTAAAACCCCATCTATGATTATAGAATATTGTAATTGTATATATATATATATATGTTTCAATTGCCATGACACAAAGGTGTGTAGGTGGTGATAATGGAAAGAACAAACATCCTTGGGGCACCACAAGGACCTTTGCCTGTTTTCATGGGTACTTGGAGGTCTAAGTGGAATCAACATTAGGTTGCGTTCCTATGGGTTGTGATTTTCATGGAATTAGACCAGTTAATAAAGCAATGATTAATGATACAATTACCATTTATAAAAATTACAAAAAATGATGATCATCAATATTCACTCATCAATATAACCATTATGTCCAGATATATTTATTGTTGATCACTGCCAGGTAGGTCAATAATATAACTTGTTTCCATGATATTCCTTAGCCATTGATGTCCCCATTATGGTCCCCAAAAAAATACCCATTGATACTATTGATACTCCCATTGTAGGTCCCTAGCTCTTCACATGTCCAAATTGAAATCCCCATTACATTCTACTTTACCCCCATTCATATTGATGCTTCATGGCATTTTTCTACTAAACTAACCATCACCAACCACAAGTTTAGGTGAACGACGCCTTCGGCTGGGTAAAGCAACCCATGTTTCCCCCGCGTTTGGTTTCACGAAGCACTTGGCTCGCAGGCCATGGCGTTCCAGCGTAGTTCTTCGTGAGCATTTCGATGACCTCGTTGCCAAGACGGATGAGGGTTATTTCAGTGATGCCTATCTTGTTTTTGTGGCCATGAAATCGGGGTTTAAATGGTTTAAATGGTTTAAATGGTTTAAATAGCGGTTTTCCAAAAAAAAAACTGAATCATCAGGGATTTAATATCATGGGATTGTGGGATACAATGGGACTTATATACTGGGATAATATAGATAACCAGTTGAATATGATTGTTGGGTGTGTCTGAAAATGAGGTATACCCCCCGGATCGCAAGTATAGTGGGAAATAGAACTGATTTACCAAATCAAATTTAGGGGGCTCCCTATTTAATTTCAGACAAAGCCACATACTGAATCTGACCAACAAGAAGTGTGAAAGCAGCCATGGAACTGGTTGGTGGTTCAATCAATGTTTCAGCTATTGATCCCTATCATTGCTGGGAAATGGGATTTGTCAAACAATTGGCAATCATCAATTGATGGCCGAACAGTTGCGTTTACGAAGGCGCAAAACCGGATGGCGAAACTTTGCAAAGAAAAACAAACGCATGACCAAGGAAAAGGACGTGTCTCAACACCAGCTACCCCACAGTTCATCATGCTCCCCCGTCCTGCTGGTTGTCCATTGGGCAAAATACCCAAAATCACCATTTCATCGAACCTAGGAATGATTCCATATTTTGAAGGCACATCCATTGCTTGAAGTCCCACTAAATCCCAACTTTCAATCAATGGATTGCTTGACACATGTACAGGGAAACCCCATCATTCGCGAGAAAAAACATGGTTTCCGGTGAGGATGTTCCCAAGAAAACCAAGCCATTGATGTATGGTTCAACTCCCCAGGATTCGAGAATATCATACAAATATCATCAATTTCCCCAGATGTTTCCAGGCTTTCCCCAGAATTTTCCAGAAAATCCCCAGAAATTTCCCCCGATTTTCCCCCGATTTTCTGGTAAAAATCCACCATTTTTGTTCCCTTTCAGCTCCCCAGGCCTGAGCGGCCGCCTCCTGCATCGTGATGGACAAGTCCACCACGGCATGTTTGCAGTACTCGTGCACCTCAGGCGGCGAAAAGGCGATGGGGGATTCTTGGATTGGATTCTCTGGTATGATTTGTCTATCTAGCTATAGGTATATATATACATATATATATATATATTTATTTATTTATTTATCTCACTATAAGATCTATATATATATATAGATCTATAGATCTATAGATCTATAGCATCAGTATTTGTATATCATTTGTGCGCTGGATTGTACCGGATTATGCTATAGTACCCCCCAAAAAGATAGATAAGTGAATTGTCACTAATTAAATTGGGATTTATTTTCAACAAAAACACTTTGTGGGGAAGACTGTATCTATACTCTATACCTATATCTATGGTATTTGTATGTCATTTGCATATTGGATTCTATCACAGTTTTTGTCAAGCTAATTCTTCGGACTATCTATAACGGATGGTAATGGATTAAAAATTCTAATTGATGATGTATGTATATATATATATACATACATATATATATATACAGTATATTACAGTATATAATATGGTGGGAAATCACCAAACAACATGGGCATTTGAAAAAAAAGAAAATGATCGAACTCAATCGGCCGTTCTCACCGTCAAACAACGTGAGATATAACTTGCGTTTGCAGCATGGTGTAAATGATATGTACATCAATGTACATCATAACTCCCAGGTGTCCAACTAAATCCCTTCCCCCGATCATACAGCATTACAGTATAATCATCCTGAAGTGGGTAGAGGAAAAACATAATCATACATATTCCATGTTTGTGATGATATTTGAACATCTTAATTTAGCTACATTTTTTTTCGCAACTCCAAGTCATATATTTTTCGGTTGGCACCTTAACATGAGGTAAATATGATCAAACTACCATACTGGTTTGGCCTGCTTTCCCATGCTCCAGGATGACATGGTTCTGCATCTTTTTGGGATGACTTGGGCCATGCTGACCCTGGGTCCGGACCGTCTGTGCCACTCGCAAGCCAAGCACAGAGTCAACTGCCTGGACTAACTGGCCACACATCAGACATATCCAAAAGCAGGAGGATTTACCACAATTTATGGCACTTATTGAACATGATCATAATCTGTTATATGCTTTAATGTTCAAAACAAGTGAAGATTTGGAGGGGTTCCAAGTCTTGTGTTTCGACCCATGCAGCTCTTTTCATATCCATAACCCCAATGAATCCACACACCTTTTGGGTCGGTCATCAACTCGATCATGCCAAATAAAACTCCACAAGTATCCATCATTGGCGGGCTTTGCATATCTTTCTATATTCCCTTAGTGATATTCCCATCTATAGCCAGGTACCCTCTGGTAAACTAACATAACTCATAACTATGGGAAATCACCATGTTGTAGCTGGGTAAATCAACTATGTCTATAACCATTTTCTATGTCGCAAACTGTTGGTCATTACCGGAGGGTATATCAACCATATCCATAGATTATCCATAGATTATCCGTATATAATTACCAGAGGGTAAGTAGAGGGTATATCTTAAACCAACCATAGATAGGAAAGTCCTACCTGGTTAATTTTCCCACATTTTCATGGGGGATTCATAAACCCTATGATTTTGCTGTCACGACTTCGGTTGGCCCCAATGGGTTCCACGTTGTCCCACGGTTCCACCAAGGTTAGACCTCAAGGGTGTTGCGATGCATCGTCAGCTTGTCTGGATCATCCTAGGCAGCGCTGGAGACTGCTGCTGCGTGTGTGTGTATGTTTGTTTTGTATGTTATCTATGCATATAAGATGATCTATTATGTATATATATATATATTATTTATATTATATATTATATATATATATTGTTTATATATATATATGTCACCAGTGTGTCTGTGCACATTATCCATATAGAAACTCGTCGATCTACTACCACACGACTTCCCGAGGCCCCAGGCCAGAATCACCACCTCAGCGTAGGGAGCGTAGCCCGTTGGATCAACGTGGGGATTTTCGCAAACATTGGGATTTGACCAAGACAAAGATGGGGATTGTGGAATTTCCCATTGAAAATGGTGATTTTCTATAGTTATGTTAGTTTACCAGAGGGTATTTGATCATATTTTGATGGTGATGTCATCGCCAAAAAGAGGTTGACCAGGAAATACATCTGCGGAAGGATTTTCCATTGGATCTGAAGTGAAGCATCAGGAAACTGCAGGGCCACCACCGAGCAGAGTTCAGCCGTAACAGTTTCAATCAACATGCTGTACATCTCCTGTCCATCATTGAAACGTTACCCTCTGGTAAACATACAAAAAACAATTGAACATGGTCCATAGAAATAGTTGATTTACCTATTAAAGATTGTAATTTTCCATAGTTATTAGTTATGTAAAAGTTTCAACAAAATTTTGAGCTGAAACAAGAATAACGCTAGCCTGAAGAAGGCCACGGCTTTGGGGTTCCCGCAGGCTGCATTCAAAAAACAACACTAAAACAAGCATTACGTGAAGTGTATTACTAAGTAATGCTGTTTTATACTAAGTTATATCTGTTTGTCAGTTTTTCTGAAAACAGGGTTCTCCCAATTAAATCCACTAATCATCATTTTCCCTATCTCTTAATGGCCACTCGAGGGCCAAAGGCCCATGTTCAAACACACCTACTGGTGGCTAGCCCTGTGTTATGGCATCGTCATAAACAAAGGCATAAACCTACTATTTGGGCATTGGGGACCGTTTGTGCGAGCTAATTTCTGGTGATTTTGGGGATGGTTCATTATTATACTACATTAGCGCATCTAGATTTTGAGTACCCAGATTGAAATTTGAGGATTTCAACCTTCAGTGTCACAGCGTATTTCTTTTCCTCTTTGGTAACATCGGTTTGAAACCTGAGAATGAGGTATTCTCAAACCCAATGGTTTATGATAATTTTCTCTCCAACATGCCAATTTTGGGCACCGCCAATGTTCAAACACCATTAGATAGATAAATAGATAGATAGATAGATAGATAGATAGATTAGATAGATTAGATAGATTAGATAGATTAGATAGATTAGATAGATTAGATAGATTAGATAGATTAGATAGATTAGATAGATTAGATAGATTAGATAGATTAGATAGATTAGATAGATTAGATAGATTAGATAGATTAGATAGATTAGATAGATTAGATAGATTTAGATAGATTTAGATAGATTAGATAGATTAGATTAGATAGATTAGATAGATTAGATAGATTAGATAGATTAGATAGATTAGATAGATTAGATAGATTAGATAGATTAGATAGATTAGATAGATTAGATAGAATAGATAGATAGATAGATTAGATAAATAGATAGATTAGATAGATTAGATAGATTAGATAGATTAGATAGATAGACTAGAGATAGATTAGATAGACTAGATAGACTAGATAGACTAGATAGATAGATTAGATAGATTAGATAGATTAGATAGAAGATCTAGATAGATGAGATAGATTAGATAGATAGATTAGATAGATTAGATAGATTAGATAGATTAGATAGATTAGATAGATTAGATAGATAGATAGATAGATTAGATAAGATAGATAGATAGATTAGATCTAGATTAGATAGATTAGATAGATTAGATAGATTAGATAGATTAGATAGATTAGATAGATTAGATAGATTAGATAGATTAGATAGATTAGATAGATTAGATAGATTAGATATAGATAGATTAGATAGATTAGATAGATTAGATAGATTAGATAGATTAGATAGATTAGATAGATTAGATAGATTAGATAGATTAGATAGATAAGATAGATAAGATAGATTAGATAGATTAGATAGATTAGATAGATTAGAGAGATTAGACAGATTAGATAGACTAGAAGATTAGATCGATTAGATAGAATAGAAGAAATAAAAATTAGATAGATTAGATAGATTAGATAGATTAGATAGATTCGATAGCATTGATAGCTTAGATAGATTAAGAGATTAGATGAGATTAGATAGTAAGATAAGATAAGATAGATAATATAAAATAGATAAAGAGAGAACGATAAGATCGATAGATAGATAAGATAAGATAAGAGAAGATAGGATAAGATAAGATAAGATAGATAAGATAGATTAGATAGATTAGATAGATAGATAGATAGATAGATAGATAGGTAGATAGGTAGATAGGTAGATAGATAGATAGATAGAGATATAGATAGATAGATAGATAGATAGATCGATAGATAGATAGATAGATAGATAGATAGATAGATTTTCCATTGGATCTGAAGTGAAGCATCAGGAAACTGCAGGGCCACCACCGAGCAGAGTTCAGCCGTAACAGTTTCAATCAACATGCTGTACATCTCCTGTCCATCATTGAAACGTTACCCTCTGGTAAACATACAAAAAACAATTGAACATGGTCCATAGAAATAGTTGATTTACCTATTAAAGATTGTAATTTTCCATAGTTATTAGTTATGTAAAAGTTTCAACAGAATTTTGAGCTGAAACAAGAATAACGCTAGCCTGAGGAAGGCCACGGCTTTGGGGTTCCCGCAGGCTGCATTCAAAAAACAACACTAAAACAAGCATTACGTGAAGTGTATTACTAAGTAATGCTGTTTTATACTAAGTTATATCTGTTTGTCAGTTTTTCTGAAAACAGGGTTCTCCCAATTAAATCCACTAATCATCATTTTCCCTATCTCTTAATGGCCACT